TCACCTGAACCGGTAGAATCCCACCCCTAGCATAGACACCCCAGATGAAAATGGCATGGAAAACACTGTGCCTGAAGTCATTTTCCATAATGCAGGTCTAAAGTAGGTCTAAAGTAGTATTAGCAGCAGCAACTCATCTGGTAGCAGGATCAGATTTAGCCTGGTAGGTCAAATTCATGGGAGATTCATGGGAGATTAATTAATTATAAAAATATTTTTAAAAATATTTTTTAAACGTTTAAAATTTTCAGTGCTAAACTGCAAATATTTATTGTTGAAGACGATATAGAGCTGCCCATATTCAGCTGCTAACTTGTTAAAAAATAAAATGCAATGCTATGTTCATACTGCAAATAGACTCTACATCCAAAAGTCTGTAAAACAACTAGACAAATTAATAACGACAACAACATTATTCACCATCGGTCAATTGCAAAAGTCACCTTTATTGGGAACAATGACAATACCTCTAATACCATCAAACATCCACATCTGTCTATCCCAGGCCCTTGGAAAGGGTTCGCTAAGTGAATAAAAATAAAAATCCAATCTGAACATCTGGCTGACTGTGTAACAAACCATAACAATAATAAACCACAGGAGTTTCTATAGAAAATGTTATATGTTCCTGTACAGATTTGATATTATCTTATTCTTAATACCTTATTCATTGTCTCTCTGTGGATGAGATGTTAGAAAGAAAACTGAAATCAACAACTTAGTCTAAATTCCTGGCTAGATATATTTACTTTCCTTCTGGAGAAATAGAAGGTTTTACAAAACAAAACTAAACTAGTAGGGACTGACTTTTGTATAATATGGAACCCTCCCTCCACTGTCTAAAGGTATCCTTTGGCAATATGCCCTCCCCCTCAAATATTTGGCTACTAGTTGGTGATAATTGAATCCAAAGCTGCTTCTGTGTAAGTTGTCATGGTACTGTCAAGTTTCTTCTTTTATTTAATGAAAGAGCACCATCTGGTAATTGCAGATAATTAAAATGAAAATATACAGAGGAAGGTGTTGATGTCACTCTTTTGATGAATAAATCAAAGGGTGTTTATGTCAATCTTTTGATGAATAAATCACAATTCTTTTAAAGTGGCTTTTACTAAACTTGTTGGGCTTGGATTTATTCAAGGAAACCTAGATTTAAATCCATTTCTAAATCCTTGCAAGCAAAATATGATTGTTTATGTGTTTTAAAATAATTGTTCTATTTTGGAATACTGTATCCAGTTTTTATTGCCATGATGTAAAAAAAGTTGTTGACACTCTGGCAAGAATGCAGAGAAGAGCAACAAAGATGATAAGAGGACTGGAGGCTAAAACATATAAAGAACGGTTGCTGGAATTGGGTACGTCTCGTTTAATGAAAAGAAGGACTAAGGGTGACATGGTTTCAGGTTCTCGTCCCCAGTTCTGTGGATATATGCTCTTAGATTCTCTTATAATGGCATGTTTCTTTATGGCCCACCTCATCTTCACTAGGTGAATATGCCCAGCACTTGGATAATCTGCCATCCAATGTCCACCTCCAGAAGCCACCAGCAGATCACATTCGCCATTATTTCTTTTAAGTCACCCAAACCAAGTTCACTGTTGTTGCTGCCTTCTACTCTCTTTTTCATTTTATTTCTATTTATTCTCTACTTGTTTCAATCCAGCAACACTCTTATTATCAAAACATATATCTTAACTCAATTTATATCACTGTCTCTTCTTTCATTTTCCATTGAGGACTTCTATCACTTTCTCCATTTTCATCTCTTCTTACCACTGGAATAACAATCCATCCACAGCAGAGTATTTTTTTTGGGGGGGGGGGAATAATTGCAGAAGACTGTTTAAATCCTTAATTAAGATCCTTAAGTTGAGGACACCACCCTTTGATCAAAGGTGAACCTCATGGTTGCTTAAGCATTTGGTGCAGATTTTATCACGGTAAGGAAAGGACCAATGTAGCTGATGGGTGAGGGCAATGTATATTTAGTACTACAAATATTCCTTGACTTAAAGCCATTTGTTTAGTGATAAATGTTCAGTGGCACTGAAAAAGTGACTTATGACTATTTTTCACATGTACAGCTGTTGCAACATCTTTGTGGTCATGTGATAAAAAATTCAGTCACCTGGCAACTGGCATGTATTTATGATGGTTGCAGTGTCCAGGGGTCATGCAATCACATTTTGCAACCTGGTGCCTTAACCACTAGATGAATAGAATAGAATAGAATAGAATAGAATAGAATAGAATAGAATAGAATAGAATTCTTTTTTGGCCAAGTGTGATTGGACACAGAAGGAATTTGCTCTCAGTGTACGTAAAGAGAATAAAATACATTCATCAAGAATAAAAAGATACAACACTTTGTGATAGTCAAGGTTACTAATAAGCTATCAAATCGTACTAGTAAACAAATAAAACAATACAAATTGAAAGATATATGCAACATGGTTATAAACATAAGTGGGAAGAGATAGATACTAGGAAGGAAGAGAAGAGATCAAACGGATCTAGTCAAACTGTACAACTGCATTGCTTAGTGACAGAAATTCCAGTCTCAATTGTAGTTGCAAGCTGAGGAATATATGTAAGTATGGTTGATGGGTGGGTATTAGTCTTCTGACTTAATAGTGATTGGGGGGATGGGACTTTGATCAAGAAAACAGAACAAGGGAAGAATTAACCTTCTATACACTTCCGGTAATCCTGCCCCAATCAATCTAAAGCCTCCAGAGATTGCTTTGAAGAAAAATGTTACATCTATCCCCGTATCACACACAAGATAGCCCTACACTTCTTATTTGTACTACATGTTGACATTTAGATGGTAGTTGCAAATTGTCCCTTGTGTCAACATCAGAAACAGTCAGTCCCAGGCTTCTACTGTTCAAGCTTGTGTTTACACAGGACAGATCTCCCAGAATTGATGTTGATGTTTGTTAGGCTCCTTTTTAATCTCCCCAACTGTGCTCCCTAGTGTGGCCAAGTCCATGATTATGATATAGAAGTTTGATACTTTGTACAAGCCACCTGAGGTCTTGAATTATTTTTTTCTGCTGTGATGTTTTTATTATATTTTTGAAAAATTGTAAGTCATCAGATTTCCTGCTAGCAGTGAGTAGACATCAAGCTTAAGAATGCTGTGTGGAATGCCATTTCATATTTGTTGAGAGATCGTTTATCCTAGCATCTAAAATTTATTTTTCCTATTGCCTCTATCATATACCAAAAACCAGGATTTACAACCCAGCGTTCCACTACAGAGTGATAAAGTTGGTCAAATATTTATGCAGAGAAAGTAAAAGAAAAAAAACCCCTTTGCTTAATAAGTTGTCTTTTTCTTATGAAACTGCTACTGCCAGTTTTATATCGCCTTTGAACAATTTTTTGTGGTGCCTAGTTGTTAAATGTCTAGCGAAGCAACACCTTCCTGAGGGAAGAATACATACAGCATTTCTGCTATTTCATGATTTTACATTGTGTATGTATGTTGAAAGAAATCCCATTGTCTCTAGAAAATCCACCTTTGCTTCATTTCTTGTATCTACACGGTTGCAGATTTCCTGTCAAATTTTCTTAGATCCATCCTGAAATATAACTTTTTGCTTCAAGCTTTCAAGAGGCCGCCCATCTCTCTCACAGAGTAACTGTTTTATATTTAAGCATACATTTTTAAATGAAAGGACAACTTAGGTATTTTTATGTAGCTAAGGATTTAGTGTTTGTGAAATATACTTTTCTTAATTTTTGCTGTGGTGTGATTGACGATGACGTTAAATAAAAAACGAACAAATCACACTATGGTTTAGCACAGAAACTCACTATTTTCATCAGCCTATCAGTTGTATCAAATTTTGCCTGATGCGCTGAGGGCATATTCCTGATGTGGACAGCATTCATTTTTCATTGATTTTAAGGGGGTAAGTAGTGGGAAGTTTGTCTCTTTGACTTGCCAAAACATCTCTGCAGAGCCTGAAAAAGATGTTAACCAGCCATCAGATGTTTGGCTTCTCTGATTTTAACGTACTGTGGTGTTGTTGTTAAATTTATTTGCTACACATCTCACAGTTCAAAGCAACTCTGAACAACATATAAACTCATACTCTGGGTTTCTAATTTTTAAACCAGATCTGTACCCGGGGTTTGGTTTAACTGTGATTTCCTTCTGGCAGAATAACAAATTTTTGAAAATTCATATCAGAGCCAAGAATTGTCCATATTTCAAGAATTTGTTTTAATTGTTTTATTTCTATTGAATCTTTCATTCAATAAGGAACATCTCCTTTAGTTGTATGACTGTTAACTGCATCCAATGCCTTTTCATGATACATGAAGAATGATAAGTGAGTTTATTTCTATAGTGTTTTTGTTATATTGTCAGGTGGACTTAATATTGTCTAAAAATTAAATCAGATTCTGTGGTATGAAATAACCAGGGTAATTTTCCACATCTTAAGACACAGCAGGTAGGATATAGTCATGACTAAGTAATGGTCCATTGGTTTCCATGGATCACTTGAGCTGTAAGCATGACTAAGCCTGCAGAAATATATGGTGCTGCTTTCTGTATTAAACTAATACATGAAATAAGTGAAAATTAGTATGGATAAAAGGTTTGAGTTGTGAGCACAACAGCCTCAAAGGTATTGCATCTAATGTGATCATTTAGTTTCCCAGCAAAATGGATGAAATGTAAGTCTTTATCTGTGCAGTTCCGTTCCACTGATTTCAGTGGGATTTGCAGTATAATTCTTAATGCTTTCTACTCCAAAATAAAGGTAATTAAGTTCAGAAAAACTTATTTTCCAGCAAATATGTTAAGTCTTTTGGGGGATTTTTTAACATGTACTCGTAGAATTTTCCTTATGACTGACCATGTGGGAAATTCAAGTATTTTCACAATTTATCATATTAAGCCCAGTGATACAGATTCCTTGACTATATTTATGTTGTTTCTTTTGGGTGTGTGTGTATGTGTGTGTGATTCGTGTAGTTTTTGAAGAGCCCGAAGATCCAAGTAACAGATCTTTTTTTTCTGAGATCATCTCTTCAATTTCTGATGTAAAGTTCAGCCATACTGGGAGATACATCATGACCAGGGATTACCTCACAGTCAAAGTGTGGGATCTGAATATGGAGAACAGACCTATTGAGACATACCAGGTATTTTATCTTTTTCCTTTGTTTCCTGGGATGTGAATGAAGGGTGTAGGTATTAAATACAGTGTGTGAAAGTGTGGGTGTCTTCACAACATCCCAAAATGCTTCAAAATGATTTATTTTTACATATATTTATTTATTACTGTTGTGAGATTTTGGAATTGGCCTACACATAATTTATTGATTTCAATTATATTGTTAATGCAGTAAAAACAGGCTCTTGGTGGATTTTAGTAGTAAGAGCAACAGAAACCAAAACACTGAAATTAAAACATCAATGATAGAAGTCCAAAGTTTCTTTTTTTTCCAAGAGGCAACTGGAATTTCTTATTTTTCTTTGAAGACATTTTGCTTCTTATCCAAGAAGTTTCTTCGATTCTGACTGGATAGTGGGAAATAGAAGGATTTATATTCCTTGCAGACAGCTGGTCATTTGCATTATTTTAGAGAGTCATTGAGGCCACTTAGAAGTTTATGTGTGTCCTCAAGATCATCTGAGTAGTGCAAATGGATGTGGAACTGCAAAGGACTGTGTTGTAGACTGGAGAAGCTTGTTGGATGAGAAGCAAAATGTCTTCAAAGAAAAAGAAGAAAGTCCAGTTGCCTGTGGAAAAAAGCACCTGTGGGATAACCATGACCTCAATGACTGAGAATCTCCAAAGACATCCATGATAGAAACTAAGATAAAATAACTGTTGCTAATAGCTTCAAACTCTTGTCCTCTGAAATCTGTGAGCAGAGCTTGAATCAAACTTTAGTATGGTGTTCCTTCTGAGTGCTTCCTTCCTTTTATTCTTTGTGTCTCTCTTTTTCCTAGGTCCATGATTACCTCCGCAGCAAGCTGTGCTCCCTCTATGAGAATGATTGCATTTTTGATAAATTTGAATGTGTATGGAATGGGTCAGACAGGTGAGGCGTTATATGCAGGATTATTATGATTTTCATTTTCTGATTCCTCAAATCCACCCACTTGTATCTCTTCTGCTCTTTGCTTCCTCGTGCAGTGCAGAAAAGTTTTTTTCGTAAATGAAAAAAATAATTAAATCCCAAATTTCATTGAAACTTGAAAAATGCTCTATAATAAATCTCATGACTTGTTCAAAAGTCACTCTTGTCATCCAGAAAACTAACATAAGACATACAAAGAACAGCTGCAAGCAATTTGAAAAGAAATTACTTGAATTAAGATAGCTGAATAAGTACTGCTTATGTTGGGCCAAGCATACAGATCCCAAAAACCTGATAAGCATAGGATTGATGGTGAAATGTACTGCACACAATGACGCCAATCCATTAAGGTTCTTATAGTACATTAGCATTGTGATGAGTTGTGGGGGTTTTAAAATGAAAAGGAACTTGCACTAGCTTACATAAATTATAATTTCTGAAATAGCCAGGCATGCAAAGCCAAGATTTAGTTGGCTCCATTTATGAAAAAGAAATGAAATTGAAATGACCTATATATAGTTGCCTAATTCTCCTTTGGAAACTATGGCTAATGGAATTGGGATGTTTCTTTTTTGTCAACATTATACTTTCAGCTATGGACAATTAGAAAATTAAAAAGTAATTTGAATATTGCTCATTTGTAACATAAAATTAAGCATGAAATTAACTTGCCATTGTAATTAGTTTTTACATTTTCAATCTAAATATTGGGCTGCAGGATTTGTGGACAGGAATATTTCTCTGAATCCACCAGAAAGGCACTAATCTAAGGGATGGTGCTGCATTGGGACCCTATCTTATTTGCAAGCAGCATTCCCCTTGATCTAAATATTTATGGGGGCAACCCAAGACAACTGTTGAATTGGCTGAAACTTTTCATTGGATCCATGTATCATCATTCTCTTTTCAAGATTCATGATGATACATGAATACATGTGATTGATCATTATTTTGATATTTAAGATTTTTTTAAAAACAATCATCTTGCATCTTGTGAATTGGGATAAATACACAAAATAATGATAAGAAGAAATGAGATGAGTTCTAACAACTGTCCCCATGCTGCCTACCAAGGGGTAGCCCAATTTAGCCACCTTACCTGATTATAAGTGAAAATTTCAGGAGTGCAAAAAAGAAGGAAGACTTTACTCATTGCATAAATGCATGAGCTGTAACTGGCCTAGCTACCAGTGGTGATTATAGTTCCCCTTTAAGTTGACATTTACACAACCAGCAAATTGCCTCCTGACTTGTTATTCCATCCCACCCTGCTTTGTGGTTTCCCAAAGCACTCCTTATAGCGGTTTCCCAAGAAAGGAGATAAAGATAAAGATTGGTTTCACCTGTCCAGTCATATCTGACTCTAGGGAGTGGTGCTCATCTCCATTTCTTAGCCAAGAGAGCCAACATTGTCCCAAGACTTTTCTGTGTTCATGTAGCCAGCATGACTATATGCCAAGGAACTCTGTTCCCTTCCCACTGAAGTGGTACCTATTCATCTACTCACATTTGCCTGCTTTCAAACCGCTAGGTGGGAAGGAGCCAGGACAAGTAACGGGAGCTTACCCTGTTGTGTGGCGCTCAGATCTGGAACTCAGGCTGTCAGCTTTGCAGCTGACAAGCTCTGTGTCTTTAACCACTGAGCCATCACTCTCCCTAAGAGAGGAGATATGGTGGGTATGTCTCAAAGCTGGATCTGTCTTGAAATGGTTGAGAGAAGTAGGAAAACTAAAAAGGCTCTAAATTTCACTTGACACTTTTCGTTGTTGTTGTTTTTTTGCTTGCTTCTCAGTGTCATCATGACTGGCTCCTACAACAACTTCTTTAGAATGTTTGATCGCAATACCAAGCGTGATGTGACTCTTGAAGCCTCAAGAGAAAACAGCAAACCCCGTGCCATCCTGAAGCCTCGCAAAGTTTGTGTTGGTGGCAAAAGGAGGAAAGATGAAATTAGCGTGGACAGTCTGGACTTTAGCAAAAAGATCCTGCATACAGCTTGGCATCCTTCAGAAAATATAATAGCAGTGGCAGCAACAAATAACCTGTATATATTTCAAGACAAGGTTAACTAGGAGGGAGGAAAAAAAATGCTCCTTGGGAATCTAATATTCTGGAGACTAGCAAACAAACGTTTTTTAAAGGGTTTTTTTTTTTGGTCCTGTTTTCTTCTCCTCCTTGTTTTTTTTCCCCATCATTCCTCTGCAGACACTAACTGTGCAGAGGTAAACTCTCAGATTCCAACATTTATTGCTTTTCCCCCCAATATAAAGAAATTGGGTGGCAAAGCAAATTAGGGACAGTTGAATTTTAAGTCGTGAAAGCAACGAAGCTGCTACTACCACAGTGAGCTTGAATTCTGTCTGCTTTCATTTCCCTAATAACTGCTGGTATTAGGGAAAACAAAGATAATTTGTAATCTATAACCAAGGTAGGATTACTAAATTATATTTACAGGAAAAAAAGAAAAGAAAACTCAGCCAAGGCCATGAAACAAAGATGCATTGTATTAAGCTATCTCTTTTTTTAACAAAAAACATTACTTGGAGATTTTTCTTTCGTTTTACATTATTTGAAAACAGGACTTAGAATTCCTGTTGATTCAGTTCTTGTAATTGACCGTTTACCTTTTTAAAGTGGTGTATTCCTTTTATTAACTCAGGGCCTTTCCAGATGATCATTTGTTGTTATCACACAATGAATGTTTTCCTGTAACTCAGTTCTTGTGAGAGATACATCTTTTTTTGCCCCAGATTGCACATTGGATTAAAAAATAACATAACAACATAAAGTTGCAGCCTGTAAAAAAAAAACAACACCATCTTCAGGTTTTCACACCTTCCACAAAGGACTCACTGCCTTGAAAGTGCAGTGAAAGTCTAGGTGCACAACTCTCATTGTCACCTGTTGATAGTGTCTGTGACATCAGAGGTGACCTATGATCCATCTTCACTTTGGCCATACCACTAACGTACTTACATTAGGAATAGATGAAAACCATTAAAGCCAGACTAATCCACCTAAGGCTTTCTGATTTCCTTCTCTTTCTCTTCTTCTTTTACATGTAGTTCAGTTCTGTTGACTCCGGTTCCAGCATTGATGCAACCGTCCCTTTAAAAAATAAAAAACCCAAGACTTATTTTTTAAAATTTAGGAAATAGGTAAACTTCCCCAGTGATATCCCGCCCTAATCCCATCCCTCTCAGCAAAGAAGAGCTGTTTCCCTTCCACAAATGCAGATTCTCTTCTGCTGCATTTGGACAGGAGATGGCTCTACTCTTGCTGGATGCAGGTAAGTGCAACTTTGTTCTTAATGGGCGGAAAGGCCCGTTTTCTTATCTGGAAAGAGCCTCAGACAGGAAAATCAAAGGCAAGACAGAAGGAGCAGGTTTGCAGCAGGCACATTTTGACTCATCATTCATGAAGGGGCAGGGATGCCATCACGAGTTGCAACCTGCCGTCATGATCCCCACAAATGGTCTCTGATGGATTTGGCTGAGTCAATCCTTTGGTGCCTTTTGATGGTATACAACATACCTTAAAACACAATGCTTCCAAAACGTGGTATTTGCAAACCAAATCGAATCTGAGCTTTCTTCTGCGATTCCTGCAATTTTATTTTGGGTTTTTCTGTTTGTTTTAATTTTTTTTTTTTAGTTCTGATTTGTTTTGGATAAGAAATCTCAGAACAGTTCTCTTTTAATCTCTTGCATGTCATAAATATATATGTGTTGATGGGGGGGGCAGAACCCCTTTTTTCCTTCTAGTCGTGTATTTTTTAAAGTATTGTTTGTTTGTTTATTTATTTATTTATGCCAAGTGTCATTTTTTTCCCTTTCTTTTTGAGAGTAAAAAAAAAAAAAAGAACTCTTTAGTTAAAACTGTATGGCTTTTAAAAGAACTCAAACAAAAAATAACCACCAAACCATCTTGTAATGCTATTATTATTCTTAGCACTCGGCTGCTTTCTGAGAGAGGTTGCTCATAGACGGGCGGTATGAAGATTTAACTTGAATAGCTCTTCATCTTTGCATGGTAAACTGTGCAGTTCTACTACAAGGATAATGCCGGTCCTGCCTTCACTTGATCAGTTTGGGAGGCAAAAAAAAAAAAAAAAGGTGGGGGGAGGGAAAAATCAAATAGCCGATTCTACAAAAAAATAAAATAAACTTAATTCTTTCTCTAACGAGGCAGATATTTGAAGATCAATGTACTTTGCATTTTTCCAATTGTAAAAAGGAGGCGATCGCTTCAACTTTTGTGATTGTTGCAGTGAAGCATAGAAGAATTCCTGGATACGTTCTCTGGTAGAATGATTGGGGGGGGACGACACTTATTTTCCTGTTCTGGGCTACCAAGGCTTTACCTTTATAAATAAAACCGTGGTCACAGTTTTCTGAAGAGGAGATCACATCCATGTGGTTATCCAGTACACTAAAGGCGAGGGGACGTGAAAATCCTGGAAACAAGGGGAAGCTTAAACATTTGGAATCAAAACTTTTCTTTAATATTAGACCGTTTATAACCTTGTTGTCTCTTCATAAGACTGAGCAGGACACGGTCACATTAGTGGTTTTGCATTGTTTAAAGGAGCGATAACAGGACAAAAAGTATGCTAGCTTATAAATTTATGGTAAGCAATGGCTTTCAGATGTAGCCTCTTTTTTTTTTTTTAAAGAAGAATGATTTTTAAAAAATAGTAGATGGATCATTTTTCTATAAAAAGAAATAAAACTAACATGCCTACATTCTAGTACCGAAAGAAACATTTTTTCCAAGATGCTCTGATGTGAAGCTGTCCATTACTAAATATTGAGCAATTCAGTTCAAAGATCTGGCACAATACCAATAGCCCACATAAATTTTGGCCATAGGAAAGGTTCATCCTAAATCCTACTCCCTGTAAATTAGGGTAATCCAATTTGCATAGCAATAGCACTTAGACTTATATACCGCTTTACAGTGCTTTTACAGTCCTCTGAGCGCTTTACAGAGTCAGCATATTGCCCCCAACAATCTGGGTCCTCATTTTACCAACGTTGGAAAGATGGAAGGCTGAGTCAACCTTGAGCCTGGTGAGATTCGATCTGCCAAATTGCAAGCAGCCAACAATTAGCAGAACTGAACTCTAACCACTGTGCCACCACGGCTCACAACCCCAAGCATTCAGGCTTCCCCAATCTGGCTCCCATTTTTGGAGAGTGGCAGTTTGGGAAAGGCTAATTTAAATGTAGAACTTCTGATTTCACTTAATCTCATGCACTTGTATGAAGAGAGAATAAAGGTGATGTTTTTATGGAAAGCAATGTCTTTGTTGAATGCCAAAGTATTTAACCATCTTCAAAGAAGCACTCAAACAGGATTCTATCAAGGGCAGTCATCCCGCAAGGTTTGTCATCCAAATCTGGTATTTTTAGTTTTAGTTACTTACCTCATTTTTATGGTCATTCATCTCGGAGTCTGGACAGTATACAAAAGTAAAATTCTTATAAGGAAGTCAATGGTGGTGTATCAAGCATAGTTATGAACCAGGGAAAGCTGTGGATGTTTGCAAAGGGTTCCTCCCACTCTTCAGTTCTTCTCACTGCATCATAAAGTACTGTTGAATCTCATAAGCATTTTAAAATACCTTGTCAAACACTGCACCGCTCCTGTTAGAATGTTATATATATATATACACCAACTGCATGGAAAGAGCTTACAGGAGAATTCTATGATCCATAGCATGCATATATTCCCTTGGTGGTCCTGCTACACTGTAGTCATTCACACTGTCATTCACATCATGCACAACTGGGTCCAGATTGCCTCAGATTATCCTTTTTCTTTCAAGGGTCCCCCGGAGAGCATAGCACACACAGAGGCACTCAGGGGCTATGAAGCTGTGAAATTATTGGGCTACGATGTTAAGGAACTTGAAAATCGCTCGCATTTACTTTTCCTTACTATCCTATTATAATGTCCAAACTTGGGATCCAATACTTTTCCTTGGGCTGGCTTAAAATAGGGCTTAACCTCTGCATTTGTTAAAAGGGTTCTTCTTAACATCAGGCACATTCAACAGAGATAATTTACAAATTAAGTGGGCATTTCTGGTACCGTTGAGTGATACCTTTCCACTCTGCTCCACAGTGTATCAGATTACAACAGAGATGAGGACAAACAATATTATCCCTCAGGCTAGTAAAGGTCTTCAGCTTTCTTGATGTTCCAAGACTGATCTAGGTAAGCCTTGTAGACACTCTAGGAAGCAAAAAATAATAATCTGAAAATCAAGATTGAAACCCAGATTGATAATCTTATGCTCCTCCAAAACATCCAAGATAGAAGATTACTTGCATACTAGAACATCAGCCTGGAATACTTCACAGGTTGGTGCTTTCCAGGTGCTTCAGGACTACACCTCTTAGAAGACCATGGAATCTAGACATTCAAGATGTTGAACTCTCAACTTAACTGGAGCTGCCATGCTGCAGAAGATGCCTAAAATAATTGGGGCCAGGAAGAAAGAATCAATTGATCTGATATAGATCATATGCCTGGAGAGCCATAAGAAGGCAGAGGGTAATCCCAGAAAATTATGACTATGGTTCTTAAAACTATAAATGTAGTTTCTAAGAGAAATCTGTCATCTATCACCTAAGTGAAAGACTATTCTTGTATGACAGTATTATAAAAACAAACTCATAATTTCAAATGGGTCATGGTTGTAGTAATTATGTTATGTTCAACTATTGACTATTTGTTTAAGAATTGCACGGAATTGTATGAAAACTGGTGAATCTCAATTAAGATTTTTCAGGGTTTTAATATTGTGTCAAGTTCACATACTACCATACTTTATATAGAGAAACCTGTTAGCTTTTGCTTTATTTCTTAAATTTACACCCAAAATAACACTCAAGCTCACTAACAGTACAAAAAAATAGCGGGGGGATATAATTGGTATATACCACTTGCTCAAATGGAAACATGATAAAAATGCTCTGTGGTTGGTGAGAGAAGGTTAAGAGGAACAAGCTTTCTTGTTCTGCCTATGATGGCTATATCTGTTTTTTTTTTTACTGTTGATAATTGTTAGCTGCCCACTTTTGCACCAGAAACTCTAATTTATAATCACATAAATGAATTATTTTACCCAAGTGCAATCCCAAAATATTTGGGGTGCATCATGGATGATTTTCTGAATACCTGCAACAGTGCATCAGAAATCTTCAAGAAGTATATCATGGAGAGACATGGATGGTTTTGCTAGCTGCCTTAGAAAATGTGAGAGAACAATGTGGCATGATTCCTCATTAAAAACAGGCACCTATAAAGAGTCCCCAAATCATGACAACTCACAATCAATACTAAGTTCATTGAAGCAAGAAACATTTCTCATCCTAGTTACAACCCCAACAGCTCAGCCTCAACACTCAATATTTCCAATAACAAGGCTGTGTGAACCTGTGATCTAAATCTCTGAAAATGAAGAGGCCAAAATTTTCCCTTTGAGTTTGTTGGGGCCAGTTTCTTCAGTTCCCACATCAGGAGTGGGTTTCTAAACAACCCGATATTTGCAGTTCTAATCAGTGGAGTTGGCAGTGGCACGTTTCGTTGGTGAAAGAAGTTAATTTTAGGGTTTCTCATATTCATCTCCTAAAAGTTGGAAATTTGGTTTCAATCTATCAAGGAAAATAAACTCTAATAAATGAATCCTCCCAGCTTGGATTGATTGATTGACTGACTGACTGACTGACTGATTTGATCTGCACATCGAAAAAAATGTTTTTCAGATAACTGGAATTAACTATTTTTTAAAAAGCCACTGAATGAAATAAAAAATAATTCTACAATACAGGTCATTACTGCAAAACATTATGAAAACACGGGCACATTGTTTTCTTTTATGCTAATCTTAAAACACAATAAAGAATAAGAACAAACATAGAAAAGGTTGTATTCAAAATCTAATTTTACCATGACTAAAATTTCTCTATTTCATAACATCTTGTATAGTTTTCCTGGCCAGTTTGCTGAATCATTTCTGAATGAGAGTCCTGAAATAAAGAATAATTTCACAAGGCACAAACTGTAGATAATCTATGGAGTTTGTTCCTTCAAAATACGATCACACCCAAATACCCATCATATCATTTCACATCACAATGTAATGCTCATGCACCTTCTTGAAACTGATAGGGCAACCTCATACAATAGTATATCCTGAAATAAAAATAAATGGTCATACAGTATGTCTTCATTTTAAAACTTCTTTGATTTCTATTACAAAAAGAAGGAAAGAAGTTTCATGAGTGATTGTAGACAGAGAGAGAGAGAGAGAAATGAAAGAAAGAAAGTGAAGTGCTAGATTATTGAGAGGGATGATAAATATCAAAGTTTTTAATAGGTAACAAGGAATAGTGAAAATGGGTGGCCCTGCTCTTCATACAGCCAAAACTATATCAATGGCTTTTTTTTTTCAAGAGCAGGCCTCTACTAAATCAAACAATTTATCCCACATGTTTCCTTAATATGATTATGCCCTTTCCTGCTATGCAGCTGGGTCTAGGACAACTTGCCATATCTGACTTGCCACAGCCACCTTGGCGCAGCCAACTTGCCACAAGACAAGTCACCATGATCAACTCACCACAGGACAACTTGCTGCAGAACAAGACGTTACATTGAGGAAATAGCAATAGCACTTAGACTTATATACAGCTTCACAGGACTTTAGCAGCTCTCTCTAAGCAGTTTAGAATCAGTATATTGCCCCTCCCCAACCAGTGGTGGGATTCAGCCAGCTAGCACCACT